CCTTTGAAGTTCAAACCTGGTGTACATTATGAAATCAATTATTTTCGAATGAACTAATAAGTAGCGTAAGTAACAACGAATGATGACTAATGTATTTACTATTTATACATTTAAACATTATTGTGGCGCCGGTAATAAATACATATTAATTATTTAGATTTTTAAGGAAAATAAACTTTTTTCTTTTCAATTTTAATTTTTAATTTTAAGGTATTTTAAAGAGAATTAGGTGTATAGGTTGTATAAGATATATTTTAAAAATGTATGAAATATTTAAAGGTTTTAGAAAATTAGATTATAATTTTTATATTTAATTAATCAAACATTTTTAATGCACGAGTTCATACCAAAAGTATATGAAAACAATTAAATCATGATAGTTTTCTAAAAAGTTGTTAAAAATTAAATTAAAATTTCAATTATATTATTAAATAAGCACATTCCGATATACCATTAAAACCTCAGTAGAATTGTTTATTTATTTTTAATGATTTTTCTGTTTGATGTCTTTTTAGACAACTACAAGGCGGCGTAGTTAAATAATAATTATATAATATTTTGTTTAGTGATGTGCACGTATAAAAATCTCAGATGTATTAAAATCTTAATAAAACAAATTTCGTCATACTGTGAATAATTAAATCTCAATAAGCATTAACCTTTTGCAGTTCTTGTCCTGCGTATAGACTGTGTACCTTCCTATAATAAATTAATATAGGCGACTCAACAATAAACAATAAATGTTTGTAAAAAATAAAACAAAACTCATATAGAATGGTACAAACATAAAAAACAATATTATACCGAAGTAAAATAAAAGACATTACTAAATTGCAAATTTTTAATGATAATTTTGTTCTCGGAAACATGTAAGTACACCTATTAACTTACAAATATCTACCAAATGAATGTCGTTATACAAAATTTGAATTTAAATTAGTGTTGTAGAAAATTACTCCATGCCTATTATTATTAAATTAATTACCATATACGAATTCGATTATTTTTTTACTTTAATATTTTTAAATATTTAGGTTTATTTTTTAACATAATTTTGTTTGGATACAGTTATTTGTTAAAAATCACTTCGAACAATTTAATAAATACATTTCACTTGGTAAATTCTTATTCTAAAATTATTTCAAAAATTATATGCGGTGAAATTATATTATATTATTATTATACGCAGTGTACATAAAAAATATTAATTATTTTAGGAATTAATCACAGAAATGTAAGTGTTGGACAACAAACAGGTTTTAGATTTAGAGAATCGCAAAAATAAATTGTATTGAATATAATATTAATTTTGGATACATACGCATTATTGGTAGGGTCCAATCGCGTATAGAAGGTACACACAATAATCTGCAAAGAACAGTCCGATGTCCTTACCAAGAAAATGTCAATATTCACTAAGATCTATTGAAATTATTATTATATTTTGAACCAACTTGAATTTGATTTTTTCTAGATACTATATTGTTCGGACCCGATTACCTAGAGGGCGCTAAATAATTCAATTTTGACGAAGTCCGGTGCACAACACGCATGTGCCGCCGTTGTGCGCCATCAGCGAATCGTGTTGCGTCGTCTCGCCGTCCGTAAAGTGGTGTCCGGCGGCGATTGTTTTTCGTACCGTCCGGCGAGCCGTATCACGCACATGTGTCCGTTACGTTTTTGAAACCGTGTTTTTTGGGTTAATCCCACGTGTTTTGAGTAGTGCCGATTAGTCGCCTTTTGATGGCCTTTCGGCTTTCGTTTATTCATTATTATCGCTACGGCCGTATGCTTGTGTTGTCGCCCGTCGCTTGAAGTCGTTATTCCACGTCATCGTTATTCGCCGCATTGTTGTTTGTCACGTGTTCGGCGAATTGAATCTACCGAGCGTTTGTGGCGTCGCGTTATCGTGTCCGGTTGTGCCTCATTATTATACGCGCTACCTTTCGCCGCATTATTATTATTGTTATATGCTCGGCGATTTGGCATACGCGTCTTTGGGCACCCGTTGCGGCTCTTCTGATTCTTCCGGATTTCAATCATCGAAGGTACCCCGCTGTAATTCGTGGATGGAATTTGGGTTGGTTCAACGTCGTTTGGTGCATCTACGCCAGTCCAGGTGGAACAGGTGTGCAGGGAACAGTCGGACCAGGTCAGACGTACCACCCGTTTTATTATTTGTATCATTTTCATCATTCAACGATTGTTGTTGTTTACATCATACATATATATATTATTAGTTCTAATTAATATCACGTCGTGTGATTATCTTATTATTATTTATATTATTATTAAATCAATGTGATAGGGCTAACATAATTATTAAGATCTCTTATCATATGTTTATGAATTATTCAAGTGTTTAAGTACAATAAATTTATACAGTCCGCTTTCAATTTCATATTATTATTTTCTTTAATAAATTGATAGCACCCAGCCCGTAATAAAGACGAGTTAACACCCGTGTTCAATTGAGCCGGAATTCGCGTCAAACATTTGGTCCTTTCGGCCACGGATAGCTATCAATAAATTACTATTAGTGTATTATTTGCTGTAGGATATTATTATTTGTATATTTGTATTATTATTCTATTAGTATCCTTTTATTTTTTATTTTTTTTTGTCTTGTTGGGTTGTTTTGCGCTGTTAGGTGGTTAGGTACTACATCATTTACAATGACGAGAAAAAGTCAACAGCAAGCTAACAATGAACTAAAAAGGATCGGATTAACGCGCGCGCGTGCAGCACGAGACGTCGCGTTACGGTCAATTAATAAAATATTACACATTGCTAATGATGCCGTAATTAATCCCGAAAATCGTCCTACATTAGAAGCTCGAATTATATCGTTAGATCAACTTGTCATTACTTTCAATAATGAACAAAAACAAATTTTGTCAGTACTTGCTGAGACCGACGAAATAGACGAGTTTATACGAATAGATGAGAATGTAACCGAAACAATGCAATCAGTGTGTGATCAAATTAATGTGATAGTAGCAAAGTTAAAACCGAATAATCCGATAGCCACTCCGCGCAATAATAATAGTCAGACTTCTGTACAATCACTTGTCTTACCAAGAATAGAAATTCCTAAATTTGATGGAAATATCATTGAATGGTGTTCCTTCCGTGATATGTTTACTTCTTTGGTGCACGTCAATGAACATTACACGGACATTGAGCGTTTTCATTACCTGTTGTGTTATTTATTAGGTCCAGCGTTAACAGTAGTAAAAGCAGTGCCCCTTACAGCCGACAATTATGCTATTGCTTGGAACGCTCTTAAAGACCGGTACGACAATAAACGCTTATTAATTACTGCGCACATTGAAAAATTATTTGCATTTGCGCCGCTAACAAAAGAATCTCCGGCTTCACTTTCATTGTTCGTCAACACTTTTCGGGAAAATGTATCAGCCATACAAGCTCTTGGAGTTAGTGACGTTGCTGGTTTCCTACTATTCTACATCGGTTCACGGGTTATTGATCCCATGACACGACAATTATTTGAATCTACTATTGCCAAAAATCAAATACCTGACTTGAATTCATTATTAGAATTTGTATCACAAAGATGTAACGTCTTGGAAAACGTTGGCAGTGGTTATGGTATTAGTTGTGCGGGAAATAATGGAGAGGCATTAGGAAAAACAACTAATAAGAAGATCCAGGGCAAGAAGTTCGAGAAGACATCACTAGCTGCAGTCACCCCCGCGAAGTCAAAAAAGTGTTTGTTTTGTGGACATCCACATTTAATATATAAATGTTTTGGATTTCGAAAACAACCAACTGGCAGCCGCCGTGATTTTGTTAGTAAAAATCAATTATGTTTCGTTTGTTTAAACAGCGGACACATGAGTAATGCGTGTCCTACGTCGTATACGTGCCGTACTTGTTCAGGTAGACATAGTACACTACTACACCTGACAAATGATACAACAAAATCGAGTACGGGTAAGACAAACGACAATTCCGAACGATCTACTACAAGTTGTAGTACAGCACAGTTTTCTGGCATAACACGTACTGAAACCACTGTCTTATTAGGAACCGTCGTGGTTAGAGTTCGCGACAATACAGGATCCTTACAAGCAGTCAGGGCAGTATTAGATAGTGGATCGCAGGTGTCCGCCATGACAGTAGATTGTGTCAACAGATTAGGTTTGACTCGGAGGAAATGTCCTGTTGAGGTCATCGGACTTTCCCAACAACCAGTTACTACTGTCAAAGGTCAAACTAATTTCAATTTTTTTCCTGTACAAGTTGACGCCCCTGAATTTACTGTAACTAATGTCTTTGTTTTACCTCGAATTATGTCGACAATGCCTAACAGGGTTTTACCAGCCGAGGTACGAGATCGTTACCGTCATCTAGTTTTTGCTGACCCCAAATTTGACCAACCCGCACCAGTAGATATGTTGATTGGAGGAGACTTATATCCGTCCGTCATTCAATCTAGAGCTGATGTTATACACACCGAGGGCTTACCTTCAGCGATGAACACACAATTAGGTTGGGTCATAATCGGTGCGTTGCAGGATAGTGCACATACTCAGCTTACATCTCTATCAATTAGTACAACCCCTCTGTTCGAACACGGCTGAACTTCCCGCCGAATCTACCAAAGTCCAAAGGCTTTACAAGTCTCATGTTCGGCGCGGAATGTTCGCGATGAGTCGTTCCCCCTCCACGGCGTCCACACGCCGGCCGGCGTCCACGGCTCCCGTGCCAAGGACGTTTTTTGTGGTTGTCTTTTTCCTACGCTCGAGCCTGGCGGATCACGTACCGCCGGTTCGCGTGGCTTCGTGTGGCTGTGGTTAGACCTCGTGGTCATTATTCTTAACTATTTTATGATTTACGCTCATAATTGGTGCACGTTTATACCGTCGTAAACTTGAAGACAGTTTAAGTTTGACGGACTGTGTCACTCCACACCACCGAGTTATTTTATTATATGTGTCAACGCTGGACCGTCGTTCAACTGCGCCCCGGTGCCGATTTTGGTTGATGACGAGGAAGACGCTGTCGCATTTCCAGCGAGGACCGTGTTGACCAGTGACCTGTCCCCGAGGTGTCGATCAGGTCATATTATAAAATTACCATTGTTTATTGTTATAGTTATTGTTCAAATTATTATTTACTGTGCAAACTATTATTTTTATTGGTTGTAGCGCGTGTCAAATTGTACACGGCGTTTACAATATTTATTATTGTGTAAAAATATATATATATCGCGTCATTTACGCATTAACCTAATCAATAAGATTTGTACGAGGTAATATATTGTGAGTTCGCTCCTCTTTCCTGCTACGGCATTGCGCGAGTCGTTGTCGCTAACCGCGATTGTTAAAAGTAGGAGCGACACGGCGCACACCCTCCGATGGAAGAGTTAATGCAGCGTTTCTGGACAGTAGAGGAACCCACAGCGTCAACAATGCCAACTACACAAGACAGGCAATGCGAAGACTGGTTTGTCAGAACCACAAGGCGAGACGCCACCGGTCGATTTTATGTTGGTTTACCATTTCGTACGATAATATGTTCCCCAGATACAACCGACATCGGAGGTCAAGATGAAAGGTCAGTCATTTTAGGGTCATCTAGAACTTCAGCTCTTAATCGTCTGTATAATTTAGAACGTCGCCTGGGGAAGGATACAGAGTTGTATACAGCCTACCGGGCCTTCATGGACGATTATAGATCGTTAGGACATATGAAGGTAGCGACTGAGCCAGGCAAATATTTCATACCACACCACCCAGTGGTTAAACGTTGTAATACAGAACTGAAGATTCGTGTGGTGTTCGACGCCTCAGCTACATCTTCATCCGGAGTCTCATTAAATGACTGTTTGGTGACTGGACCAAAGCTCCAGACGGAAATCGGTGATGTTTTGTTGCGCAGTCGACTACACAAATTTGTTTTTACTGCCGATATAACTAAAATGTACCGTCAAATACGTCTACATGAACAAGATAGAGTTTATCAACATATACTATGGCGCAATTCGCCTAGTGACAAAGTGCAGGAATATGAGTTGTGTACGGTCACATATGGCGTAAGCTCGGCTCCGTTCTTAGCGATCCGATGCCTACAACAGCTCAATATGGATGATGGACCTGATTTTCCACTCGTTAAAGATGTTCTATTGACTGACACCTATGTTGATGACATTTTTGTTGGCGCCGACACGTTAGAGACAATTTTAGAATCAAAAATTCAAGTCATCAGCTTACTAAATCGCGGTGGATTTAGCTTGAAAAAATGGGCTAGTAATTGCCCTGAAATTTTGAACACCATCAGTATTGAAGATCAGAATATGACACCGTGGGTAGAGCCAACCAAGGAACAGGCAGTCAAAGTTTTAGGAGTCCATTGGGACCCGGTTGCAGACACGTTCGGGTATCATTCCGCGATAAATCCAGGTGTTCCTACTAAACGTTCAGTGTTATCAACGGTTGCTCGATTTTATGATCCAATCGGTGCCTTGGGTCCTATGGTATTCTGGGCCAAGTGTTTAATGCAGAGGCTATGGATGGAACAATTAGAGTGGGATGCACCACTTTCATCAGCTCTGACATCGTTATGGCAAGGTTTCATCGATAAGCTGCCGGACTTAGCATGCTTGTCGTTACCACGACACATTGCTGTAGTCAACAGTCAAGATATACAATTACTAGGATTCGCTGACGCGTCTCAGGTTGGATACGCAGCAACAGTATATTTGCGTGTGGTAGACCAGAGTGATAATGCCCGATTGTATTTCCTGGCATGCAAAACGAAGGTCGCACCACTGAAGTCAACATCAACGGACATGTCATTAACCATACCACGGCTGGAGCTCTGTGCCGCACTCTTGTTGTCACGTCTCTTGTCTCTACGTTTGGAAGTTCTACAGGGCAGAATCAAGATCACACGTGTCCGGGCATGGACCGATTCAACTATTGTCTTATCGTGGCTCACAGCTGAACAAAGGCTATTTAAAATCTTTGTCACAAATCGAGTATCGAAAATACGCAACCTCGTACCTCAGTGCGAATGGGCTCACGTAGGTACCGCAGATAATCCAGCCGATCCTGCATCACGAGGACTTCTGCCAGATGCCTTGGTAGCATGTTCGTCATTCCTACATGGACCGGAGTTTCTTCAGTATCCGGAAGAGCAATGGCCGGTTGCCATCACACCGACTGTAGATCCTGCAGAGCTCCCTGATTTTAAACGCCCAGCAAAAAATGTGCTATTAACCCAACAGGTTGATGATAGTTTTCTTCAGCGGTTTTCTGTGTTGCGCAAAATGCAACGGGTGCTAGCATATTGTCTTAGATTTGTTAACAAGGCTCGACAACGCCCAGTTGTGAGTGGACCAATCATTTGGAAGGAGTACGAAAATGTTTTGATAAAGGTAGCGAGGTACACTCAAAAGTTATATTACGCAGAGTTGCACCACCAACTAGGAACTTCAAATTCCGTCGTCACCCCGATCTCCCTCGCACAACTTGCACCTTTTGTCGATGCTCATGGTGTGATTAGAGTAGGTGGCCGTTTACAACATTCGGACTTGAACATAGACGCCAAACACCCTATCTTGTTACCAAAGTCGTCTCACCTTACTTACATCATTATTCAACACTACCATCAAAACACTTTACATGGTGGATCGCGTCTAGTAGCATCACTAATTCAGCGACGTTTTTGGATCGTCTCCAGTTGAGCTGCGATACGGCAAGTTATATTTAAATGTACAGTGTGTATCAGATACAAGGCCGCCGCTCCCCAACCAATGATGGCAGATTTACCCTCAACAAGAGTACAACAATGTCGACCATTTACAAATGTCGGGATGGACTACGGAGGTCCATTCACGGTAAAAGAAAGTCAACGCCGTAATCCAAGGACCTACAAGGCGTATCTTGCGTTATTTATTTGTCTATCCACCAAGGCTGTTCACTTGGAGGTGGTAACGGATTTGTCAACGGAAGCCTTTTTGGCTGCGCTGGATCGATTTGTAGCCCGAAGAGGAATTCCCGCACAGATCCACTCGGATTGTGGTACAAATTACATTGGAGCAGCAAGACAGCTTAAGACATTGTTTCAAGACGCAGCACTCCAAGAAGCTCTGCATGCACGAGTTCCGTGTCAGTGGCGATTTAACCCGCCTGCAGCTCCGCACTTTGGCGGTATTTGGGAGGCTGCTATCGAAAGTACAAAGTTACATCTGAAAAAGGTGTTGTAGGTAATCAGGTGCATACTTTAGAGGAATTAACGACACTGATTACACGGATTGAGGGAGTACTCAACTCTCGACCCTTGGTCGCCATGTCAAGCGATCCGAATGATTTATCTGTGCTTACACCGGGACATTTTTTGATCGGACAACCGATCATGGCAATCCCTGAATACGACATCAGTGACATTCCGCAGAATCGTCTCAAACGCTGGCAATTAATTAAACAAGCCCTTCAATCATCTTGGAAACGGTGGAGTCGGGAATATTTGCACACGTTACAGGGTAGACAAAAATGGTTCTATCAAAATCCCAGTCTCGTTGTCGGAGATATAGTCGTCATAAACTCACCTTCTCGACCTCCGTTGATGTGGCAAATTGGTCGGGTCATCGACGTTCACCCAGGTGCTGACCAAGTGGTCCGTGTAGCCACTGTAAAGACAGCGGAAGGGATACTGAAACGTCCAGTGGTGAAGTTAGTTAAACTACCCACCGACAGCGCTTAACCTACCTTCTCCCATGTGTTCAATCTTCCACCATTCCAAACACAAATTTGCTTGTTGTTATGTGTAAATATTTATGTATATTATGCATTATTTTGTATTCGAATTATCATAGATTTATTTTTTTTTGTTTATTACGAATAATTGTACGGTGATACAGTCTGACCGAGAATTAGTTTCTTTTGAAAGCACTCTTTCAAAACGGGGGAGGATGTTCGGACCCGATTACCTAGAGGGCGCTAAATAATTCAATTTTGACGAAGTCCGGTGCACAACACGCATGTGCCGCCGTTGTGCGCTATCAGCGAATCGTGTTGCGTCGTCTCGCCGTCCGTAAAGTGGTGTCCGGCGGCGATTGTTTTTCGTACCGTCCGGCGAGCCGTATCACGCACATGTGTCCGTTACGTTTTTGAAACCGTGTTTTTTGGGTTAATCCCACGTGTTTTGAGTAGTGCCGATTAGTCGCCTTTTGATGGCCTTTCGGCTTTCGTTTATTCATTATTATCGCTACGGCCGTATGCTTGTGTTGTCGCCCGTCGCTTGAAGTCGTTATTCCACGTCATCGTTATTCGCCGCATTGTTGTTTGTCACGTGTTCGGCGAATTGAATCTACCGAGCGTTTGTGGCGTCGCGTTATCGTGTCCGGTTGTGCCTCATTATTATACGCGCTACCTTTCGCCGCATTATTATTATTGTTATATGCTCGGCGATTTGGCATACGCGTCTTTGGGCACCCGTTGCGGCTCTTCTGATTCTTCCGGATTTCAATCATCGAAGGTACCCCGCTGTAATTCGTGGATGGAATTTGGGTTGGTTCAACGTCGTTTGGTGCATCTACGCCAGTCCAGGTGGAACAGGTGTGCAGGGAACAGTCGGACCAGGTCAGACGTACCACCCGTTTTATTATTTGTATCATTTTCATCATTCAACGATTGTTGTTGTTTACATCATACATATATATATTATTAGTTCTAATTAATATCACGTCGTGTGATTATCTTATTATTATTTATATTATTATTAAATCAATGTGATAGGGCTAACATAATTATTAAGATCTCTTATCATATGTTTATGAATTATTCAAGTGTTTAAGTACAATAAATTTATACAGTCCGCTTTCAATTTCATATTATTATTTTCTTTAATAAATTGATAGCACCCAGCCCGTAATAAAGACGAGTTAACACCCGTGTTCAATTGAGCCGGAATTCGCGTCAAACAATATTGTATTGTTAACCCAAGTATCCGGAAATGACATTGTGAAATATCACAAAAATAATAATTTACAATAATATTTCTTTAAGGGCTATATTGGTGCAGTATGGTTCTCCTATTGTTGTTCGGGCAAAAATAAGGACAAGGATATAAAATCTGAGAACAAAAAAATAACAACATAATGTCTCCAGAGCACACATCGATTCGTGAGTTCATTTATCCCCCGACCTACAGCGAGAACAATGTCCAGACCGTATTTCTCTCCCCTTGCCACCCCCTCCCCCAGACGTTCGGTATTATATTTTCTATTCTTAAAATCTCTTAGTGGACCGGCTTCTTCTCGGTGCCATCATGAATGTCTCTTGATTTATAGGACGACCTCCGGCCAATGCGAGTATTGTCAAGAACATTATACACATACCTTTTGCACATACGAACACACACGTACATATACAAACACGCTGGTAGTTGTCAAGTTAAAAAAAAAAGTGCTCGATATTAACCATACTGAACTGAATCCACAAGTATTATTAGGTACCCAATAACTAAATACATAATACTTATAATTTATTATTATAAAGTTACGACTCGAATTATAAAATGTATTATTAAATTATATTTTATACGTATAAATAGTTATAGCTATTAATTTGTTATCCAACGAATTTTTTATAATTGTAAATGACTAATCATCTTGGCTATTATATATTTCCAGTGTTGAGTTGTATCTAGATACATTTATCTAGATAATTTATCTAGATGAAAATTAAGTACCTTTATCTTATCTAGATGAATAAATTATATAATATCTAAATGGTATCTAAGATTTAAGTTATGGAAATCTACATAAATATCTAGATAAATCTTGTTTTATAATGCACATTTTTCATTTAGTCATTTTCCATCTAATATTATTATAATATGATACTACGCAAGTATGTTTAATGACGATTCATTATTATCGAATTAACAATAACACCCGTACGCCGACCGCAGACGCTGTCGAGGTCGTATATCAATACAAGCTGTTATACCCCACGATAATGTCCCGTCGATCAGTAAATAATGTGGAAAAAACTAAAAATAGTTCTCGACCGGCAAGAATACACACGCACATCTATGTTGTATTGACAATACCAATTCCCAATTGGATGTTATAAATAATAATATTTGCACTTTAATTTAATTTCTTTACCAGATACTAGTCACTACTCACTAGACTTTACCCAAAAGTAAATGTTTTGTCATTGCATCAATTAGTCATCCTAAGTTCAAATTAAGTTGGATTCCTGTTCGATACATTGAGTTGTGCAAAAAACTTTTTTTNATGTATAATAGGTGGTTATAGACCACACTTCAAATATAAGTTTATTGACCCGGGTCATAGTTAGATCCTATAAACACCATAGGTCTATATACATAATATACAATGATGTCTATTAGCTGATCCAGATGGTATCACAACACTGGCACCGCGACTTGGTTTTTGTATCCTTCGTTTCTCTCCGTCTGCAACTTAATGCAGAAAGGTGATAATATATACTGCTCAACTGCTGTATGAAGGAACCCATATAATATAATGGACGGTGCGCGGATTTTTAACTTTAGAATTCGTGCACTACTCGGAGCATAATTAAAAAGGCGAAGATGGAGATCGTGAGTGGAGAAACCGCCGGCAAGGGGACGACTTACTACTTAGTATAATCGTCAAAGACTATATAGGTAGGTAGGTACGTATGGACGTCATTATATACTATTATGTACATATCTGAAATGTGTGTGCCCGGTGTCAATGACTGATAATACACACACACACACACACACACACGAATACACAGTACCTACCTTTGAAATATTAAAAGAAATAGAAGAAGAACAAATTCTCTGGACCCGAAAAGCCGTTTTGAAGAAACCGACGGGAGATTTGTATTATATGTTTTTTGTTTTGCATGTATAACACGTATTGTATAACATAAGGGAGTACTCTACATAACTCTTTTCATTGAATCCCGATTTCATTGTTTCGTAAGAGAAAAAAAAATGTTTATTGTCGCCATTAAACGCAACAAGTAATTACTTTTCGTGCCTTGGGCCGTTTTTCATCGAACAAAAAAAAAGAGATGTATCTACATGTGAGAGTAACCTATAGGTACAGTTCCTATGAGAATTAAAAAAAAAATTAATATATTAAATACATGCAGTACCTATGTTATACGCTGAACAGTTTGATTCTACTGCTAAGCATTTCAAGGGCTATTCTCGAATACTGCGAGAGAATAATAAATAAAAAAACTTTGCATTAACACGTTAATTTAATAAATAAAAGCAATCCAGTAATTTATACATACATAAGTTTCGGACACTTACGGCGTAACAGAACGTATAGATTTGAACCCAGGTCATTGTAGACATTAATGTCAAAATATTTAATTATTAATAGTAAAAATAATATAGTACAGAAAAGTTAATTTAATTGCTGTGTTTTGTTAGCCTTTGAAGTTCAAACCTGGTGTACATTATGAAATCAATTATTTTCGAATGAACTAATAAGTAGCGTAAGTAACAACGAATGATGACTAATGTATTTACTATTTATACATTTAAACATTATTGTGGCGCCGGTAATAAATACATATTAATTATTTAGATTTTTAAGGAAAATAAACTTTTTTCTTTTCAATTTTAATTTTTAATTTTAAGGTATTTTAAAGAGAATTAGGTGTATAGGTTGTATAAGATATATTTTAAAAATGTATGAAATATTTAAAGGTTTTAGAAAATTAGATTATAATTTTTATATTTAATTAATCAAACATTTTTAATGCACGAGTTCATACCAAAAGTATATGAAAACAATTAAATCATGATAGTTTTCTAAAAAGTTGTTAAAAATTAAATTAAAATTTCAATTATATTATTAAATAAGCACATTCCGATATACCATTAAAACCTCAGTAGAATTGTTTATTTATTTTTAATGATTTTTCTGTTTGATGTCTTTTTAGACAACTACAAGGCGGCGTAGTTAAATAATAATTATATAATATTTTGTTTAGTGATGTGCACGTATAAAAATCTCAGATGTATTAAAATCTTAATAAAACAAATTTCGTCATACTGTGAATAATTAAATCGCAATAAGCATTAACCTTTTGCAGTAGAAAACTGTTTCGTAGAATAGCATGACCGCTGCACGGATGAGTAATCCACACCTATCTTCCAGCATACCTATATTTAATAACTATTAGACAATACGTATCGATACGTTCACGCGTTATAAATCTGATTTGGAAAGTAACTTTACCGACCGCCGCTCAGCAGAGGTTTCCGCTTTTCCACCCACTGTTGGAAAAAGTCATTTCCTAACGTTTTTAAAGCTATTGAAAATTCAATTTTCTATGCATGCGTGACAAAAACACTATTACTGCCGGTCTCTGAAACCTAGATTTTGCTCATTGGTATACATTTAATTATGATATTCATTTTATTCGTGGAACCCATGCGTCCTTATTACAGTAACTCGAGGTACAACTAGTGCAACGACTTCTTCTCTCCCACGTATAAGTCATTTTTTAAACATCCAAGAAACGTTACTCACCATTATAAATTATAATGTACTAACTTTTAATCGAATGCCTGCGATATCGTAAATTGGTTATAGATGTTGTTTCAAATTGAAAATAATTAATATTTTTATAGTTGACTGTTGTAGATACTTACCGGCAGTTACTGCCTACCTATTTTTCATTTTGATAATCTTTTTACTGATTTACATTTAATGATTTTAGTTGAGTAGGAAAACATATGATGTGATATTTGATACAAAATATAGCTGTAGATATACTTCAATCCAAGTGCATTAATATTTTATCTATTTGTTATCATTTAAAATTAAAAATGTTTGAGTGATTAACAATAACAACATAATAAAAAAAATATGTCCATTTCTGCAGGTTCAGCGTACTTATTGAAGAACCTCGATTTCTGCAAGTTCGAATATCTCATTATCTCAGGATTCGGGTCGATCAGGAGGAGCCCAAGTCGATCGGCAAGTTCTACTCAAACTACACCATGTATTGCAGATGAGCGACAGTGGAGGCAATACGATGAAGTCAGCTCTTTTAGGTCTGTCGCCACCGATCGTACGTTGCTGCCGATCGTGGCGTGGTCGGTCACGATGGCGTCTCTGGCAATAATAGTGGGCACAGTAAACTTCACCTCAAAAAACCATGCATGATCGTCATATGTCATGTTTATGTATATTAACGTATTTTTAGACGTTTGAGTCGACCACTCCGCCCTTCGGTGTACGTGTGCCGTGTATTGTAGCGACTCAATTTTATCATTTAGCTTTGTTTACAATGTCTAAACAATTCTGTGATAATTTTTCTTCGTCAAATGTATTATATTATAATATTATATATCTACCTACCTGTATAAATATCCTTGGTACTTACTATACATATAGGTGTCAATGTATGGATATTATATATTTATACATTTTTGAATATTTCCTTAACTATATTTGTAACAAATCTCTTTTAATGGGAGATGGTATTTTGCGCCAATTTAACTACCAGTAATTTGCGCCATCAAAAGGTACATTTAAGGACGTATGTAATTTGCGCCAAAATATAAAAATATAACATGTATTTTGCACCACGATAGAAAACGAAATGGAATATGTAATTGGCGCCACTTTTTCAACTTCAATATTGTTGGAATTTACCATCTCAGGTCAGACATATGAAGTGTGAAAAAAGAAAGCAAAAAGGTGTGAAAAAATTATTAAAAAGGTAAAAAATTTAGTAAATTAAATTAAAAAAATAAATTTTTTCACACCTTTTTACTTTCTTTTTTCACACCTTTTTAATTACTCTTTTCTTTTTTCACAACTTTTTACTTTCTTTTTTCACACCTTTTTACTAATTTTTACTAATTTCTTCACACCTTTTTACTTTCTTTTTGAAATGGTATTTTGCCCCACCCAAAGGTATATTTAAGGACGTATGTAATTTGCGCCGAAATATAAAAATATAACATGTATTTTGCGCCTCATATACAAATTCATTTTGGTAATTTGCGCCACGACAGAAAACGAAATGGAATATGTAATTTGCGCCACACTTTTAACTTCAATATTGTTGGAATTTACCAGCAGAAAAATTTACTGATATCGCATAGGATATACAATAATACGTCTCTATTAGACGTAATCGGAGATCAATTACGTCTAATCTAACGAAAATTATCAATGTATTGTTACATAATATTATTGTTAATATTGAACAGCAATGCCGCGAATCGTGATATTTACAGTTAGTCCGATATAAATCGCGTGTGCGTTCACATTTTCAAATTTCAATATTTTATAAGAGTATAAGTAATGGAAAATAGTACAAATATTGGTGAAATTATTAAAAGTACCAGAGGCAAAGATTTATTATTATTTGCAAATTTTACGTATCGAAAAGTTCATGAATCGAAAAATGCTTCAGTACGATGGCGTTGTACTGTCAGAACTTGCACTGCAAAAGTGTATACTTCTACAGAAATTATTGTAGAAATAGTTGAAATTGTAAATGTACATAACGGGCATGATCAACCAAGTATAGACAGAAAAATGTTTTCAAATGGATGTAAGAGAAAAGCTGTGGAAAATCTGTATACTAAACCAAGTAAGACTGAAATTTCTGAAAATATATCTAATTTACAAACCATCACTACCGATGATATATCACTAGTTCGACGAAATATTTATAACGCCCGTAGAAAAATGGTGCCACCATTACCAAAAACAATGGAAGAATTGCAAAATAGTATAAGGAATTTAGATTTGAAAACGGACCTCAATGAGCAATTTTTAATGATCCAAACTGTCATATAATAATATTTTCATGTGACACATATTTAAAAGTTCTATGCGAATCTGAGATTATATACAGGGTGTCTCTGAAGTGTGTGAGGTAATTAGTATACGTATACTCACTGTGATGCCACAATGAAGATTTTTTTAGAATTTTTTTTCTAACTTCAAAATCTGGGTTTTTTAAATTTATTTTTAGAATATTATCTTGAATGTAAAAATAAACACTCTAGTCGTACTTTTTGCAAAATTCTCATACGAATCGAGATATTACATCATTTTTGCGCTTGTCGCTCGTTTTTCCTGCTCGAATCGCCAACTAAAAAAAAAGTCGTGCGACACATCGATTTGTATGAGAATACTGCAAGATAACCAGTGGTGATAATTATTTGTTGTCATTGATAATACACGATTAATTATTAACACATTGTTTTACATTGTCGACTAATAAAAAATATGAAATAATAACAAAATTAGGGTTAGCAGAGTTTTAAACTATCAAATTTACTAGCATACCTTTATTAAATAACTTTTCACTTTATAAAGTTATAATAGTTAGAGATAAAAAAAACTACCAATTTGTGTGTTTATACTGAAATTCCAGTTTTTGGATATCACAGTACCTAACATAATTATTTAGTCTCGATAAGATAAACATTTTATTTTATACTATTTTATTATTATTTATTAGTGAATACCTAATATTATACTTTTATCGTTAATATTGAATTGACCATACTCCTTACAGAGTACATGATGAACATTAGTTGGTCTGATTAGAGCTCAGTCCAATACTTGTCATTGCACGACAATTAAAATATTAATATTTATTTTTAACATTTACAGATTTAAATTTAAATTTTGATTTTTGCGCAATGGCGTACACAAACATTGAATATGCAGACATGGTTTTTATTTTGGGTATGTACTAATTAATTTAATTAATTAGTTTTAGTATTTAACTAATATCACCCATTGGTGATTTATTTTATTAAAAACTCTTGGTATTTTACTTTATCACAAAACATACCAGTGTAACTATTTTAAGTTGTCGTAACCGACATGTTATACGAAACAAACTATTTATTTGTTTATTGATTGTGACTATAGGTTTAGCTGATGGAAATGGAAATCTTGCAATTATGTTATGGGCAGAACGATTTCCTCAGCGCAGAGTACCTCGACCAAATACTTCTTTAACAGCTTATCATCGTCTGAGTGAAACTGGTAATAATTCTAAACAAATATGACATTTTAAATAAGTACATTCTACACTTACATAAACATAATATTAAAAAATGTTGTCTTTTTAAAGGTAACGCGAGACCTGTGAATGAACTTGGACGCCCGAGATTTGTACGTAATGTAGCGAATGAAGAATTGGTACTTGATTTAGTACATGAGGATCCGGAACTTAGTGTCCGACGCATAGCCTTAAGAACTGGGATTTCTCCATCAGTAGTATTGAGAATATTACACCAAAATCACATGCGCCCTTATCATCGACAACGAGTTCAAAAACTATTACCACATGACTATCCTGCTAGGTTGATTTTTTCACAAACAATTATTAGTAAAATTGCAATGAATCCAAATTTTTTAAAAAATATCTTATTTACTGACGAGGCTGTTTTTACAAAAGATGGGATTTTTAATCAACACAGATCGCATTTGTGGTCTGAAGAAAATCCACACGCTATTCGTATAAGGGGTTCCCAGTACAAATTTAGCATAAATATCTGGTGTGGATTAGTGGGAAATACTTTATTAGGCCCACATGAATTACCAGCTAGGTTAAATGGTCAAGGATTTTTATATTTTATTGTGCATCAGCTTCCGGTACTATTAGAGAACGTACCATTGGAAGAACAAGAGACAATGTGGTTCATGTTAGATGGCGCACCTCCACATCATACAAATGCAGTCCGACAGCAATTGCACTATTCCCTGACAAAATTATTGGTAGAGAAGCTGGAAACAACGCTCAATATCGTCCAGACATAATATGGCCACCTCACAGTCCTGATTTTAACCCATGTGATTTTTTCTTATGGGGTTTTATGAAGGAACAAGTTTATGCCAAAGAGGTGAATAATAGAAATGAACTTTTGATGAGAATCAATAATGTAGCTGATATCATTCGTCAAACACCAAATTTGTTGGAAAAAACTTGGGGTTTATTACATCGTCGTATGGAAAAGTGCATTGAAGTTAACGGTGGACACATTGAACATCTTTTGTAGATAAAAATGTAGATGTAGATAAAAATTTTTAAATAAATTGTACTTTTTATTTAATTATGATTATTTTATAATGTAAAACAATGTGTTGATTAAACATGTATGTTAATAATATTACTTTACTATACCTAAATTCCCGAAACACATATGCCAATAAATTCGATCATTTAAAACTCTGTTAACCCTAATTTTGTTATTATTTTTTTTTTTTTTAGTCGACAATGTAAAACAATGTGTTAATTAATCGTGTATTATCAATGACAACAAATAATTATCACCACTGGTTATCTTGCAGTATTCTCATACAAATTGATGTGTCGCACGACTTTTTTTTAATTGGGGATTCAAGCGCGACAAGCGCATAAATGATGTGATATCTCGATTCGTATGAGAATTTTGCAAAAAATAACACCCTAAATAAACACTCTGTTTATTAGTCCCAAGTTATTTACGCAATTGTTTACTTTGCATGGTTTATGCAATGATCATTATATACCAATTTTATTTGCATTACTTCCAGACAAAAAAACTTCAACTTACGTAAATTTATTTATATCTGATTTTGAAGAATTAATTCATGTAGCATTGAGACAAGTCTGGGATGACACTAAAATATTTGGTTGTAGATTTCACCTAACTCAATCGTGGTATAGAAAAATTCAGGAATTAGGCTTATCCAACGTATATAAAAATAATAAAACAGAAGAAAGCAAGTGGCTAAACCATACATTTGGGTTGCAATTTATTTCTCCAAATGCAGTCAGTAACTGTTTTATTGAAGATTTTATGTCATCGATTCCTAATGAGTAATGACACATAAGATTTCAAAATTATGCCGATTATTTAGTTGACACATATATCCGTGAAGAGGCTAAATTTCCATCCAATAATTTGGGCTGCGAATATCGCGTCACTAGCTATCACTTCTAATGCTTGCGAATCATATCATTCACGTTTCAATTCCGAGTTCTATCACCCACCCTACTATTTACCACTTTTTGGACGTACTGAAAGGATTTCAAACCGAAACTTTGATTAAAATTAAAAGTATACATCTTAAAAAACGAAATTCTTCTAAAAATAAAATTCGTTTGGAAACTTTTCAACAAATATATGAAGACTACAGACAAAATAAAATTGACAGAAAATGCTTAGTTTCTTCATTAAGCTATAAATATTAAAAAACGTGAGTAAGCTAGGTATTATAAGTAGCTAGGTATTTTAATTCAAAAATTAAATGTTATATTACGAAAATTGTACATACTAAACGAAAATTTATATTTATACATTACAATATTTATTTATTTATTTATAATTATAATATGACGGTTTTTTATATGTTTTAAATAGAAAATGTACTTATTTAATATACATAATGGAGTTCGTTTTACTTGTGGCGCTAATTACAATTTCAATAAGGTGAACTATGGCGCAAATTACAATTTTTTTAGGTAAACGATGACGCAGATTACATATTGCCTCTTTATTTAGTTTTATTTATTTCACTTAAAAAGTGGCGCAAATTACATTTTTTTTTTTTGGG